CCCAGCGCCCCGCCCCCGGACAGCGCCCCCTCCAGGCCCAGAGACCGAGCTCTGGAACCGGTTTCCTGGGCGTCTTTGATCGTGTTTAGGAACCGAGCAACGACAGCAACGGAGATGCGCCCCGCACTCAGTCACAGCGGAACGAATGCACATCTCTGTGCCCTGAAAATGAAGCTCCCAGGCCTCGGTGTGAAGGGCGTGCTCCGCCGCGCCCCTGAACGGACCGGCGGCTCCTCTCCGCAGATGCGCCTGCCAACCTGTGCGCTAGCAGCGGCTCTCCCGGCCCCAGGTCAGGACGGATGCGCGATGTGTCCTTTCATTGCTCAAGTTACTGTCTCCGTGGTTAAGACACAAGCAAGTCTGTCTCCTTCAAATTCGATTTCAGGGCCATAGGCAAGCCTCTCTCTGTGAGCTCGACCTCCCCAGTACCCTCACTTAGGGAAGTGTCCGCGGAGAATAATGATATACCCGTTCCTAAAACCGCCCCAAGGTGCGCGTGCGCGCGCAGACCTTACCCACATCTCCAGCTCCGAGGCCGCTGGCCTCACCAGGAGGGGGGACCCGCCTCAAGAACTGACCTTCAGGGAGGAGCACCTGAGGGAAAGGATCCCAGGAGACGAAGTGCCCTGCACAAGAAGTATTTTCTCCCTTTCCTTAAAAACACATTTGCTCTAATATCTGCTGTGCCTCCCGTCTATCAAATAAATGAATGTTGCCTACCATTTAGGAAACTGACGCCTCATTTCAGTAAACATCCACGTCCCAGCCACAAAGAATGCTCATTGACATACAGAAACATTTTGAAATAGAAAGTTTTGGCTATTTAAGCATGTCATCTTTCTAAAGTGAATATAATCCCGTTATAATCCTTACCACAAGAGGGCGCAACCCAAACGCAATATTGGTTTAGTGGAGGGGACAAACGACGTTGAGAAGGACCCACGTCCAGGTCCCTGGTCACAGCCCCGTGGCTCCTCCTATTACAGGACCCCATCCTTAGATCCTCACCTCCTCCGCTCCGGCCTCTGGACCTCTGGGGTCCCTCCAGCTTCACTGGGCACTGCTCTGCCCTCTCTCAATAACAAGGGGCAGTGAAGTCCCTACTTCAAAACTGGCCGACCTGACAGCTCTGGCTTCAGCTGGTTTCAGAGGGGGCTGGGTTTTAAGGCATCTGCTGATTTAAGGCAGATAGACTAGTTTCAAAAATATTCCCTACATAAAAGTGCTGCTTTTCTCTCTGCCCACTTTTCCCTTTGTTTTTCTCCACAGCATTTATCATCACCTGCCATTATTTATTTATGCCCTTCCCATGGCCAAGAGCAGAAGCTCCAGGACCGTCAGGACGTGTTCACTGCAATGAGCTCAGCACCCAGAACAGTGGCTGGCACACAGTGGGCACTCATGAGTGCTGGTTGAAAAGTCATTTTTACTCAAGACTTATAAAGGGTTTCTTTGAATTCTCCAGGCAGAGATGCAGTAATATGCATAGAGGGCGTAAACTACACACACTCATATGGGTCACAGCTGTTCATTGTTCCTTGAGTACTCTCAGCACGGTGTTATCACCAGCAAGGGGACTCACCCTTCATTAGATCCTGGGTCCGACCCTCGCAGATTCTGACTTGTTTTATTTTGTTTTAAAGCTCCTTAAGTGATAGTAATGAACAGCCACAATGGAGAATCACTAGTCAGATGCTGCTAGGAATACAAAATCAGAAGATCGGCTTCCTGCTCTCAATAATGTTAACCAGTTTAAGATGCTATGTTAACCATGGTTACCAGTGTGCTACAGTTTATGACCAAGTGACTTAGAGTGGGCTGGAGGATGCTAAGGGGGGTCTGAGGTTGGCAGCCTCTTTGTGCTTGGGAAGGTGGGGAGCATGGGTCAGTACAGAGTTTGAGGACAGACAGAGGAGCTTCACAGTGTGAGGGGAGCATGGGAAAGGGGAGACATTCTGTATAAGGGCAGGAAGAGTGCAGGCAAAGGCCCAAGTAGACAACACGCATCAGGAGCCAATTAAAACACACACACACACACACACACACACACACACACACACACACACACACCACACCACCCAGCACTGACGGTCCAAACTGGGAAAGAGTAGAAAGGAATCTCAGAAAAAATAGCCTGTGGCCAGTGTGGGGATGACTAAATGCCAGGCTAAGAGGCTTGAACTTCATCCTGTGGGTCATATGAAGCCACAGGAGGTTTATAAGCAGGAGAGAGGTGGACTTGGCAGTGGTGTACAAGAAGGAGCAGGAAGAGGGGAGAATTCGTGGACATCAGGTAGGAAATTAACCTGCAGTCTAGGAGCAACATGATAAAAAGCAAGAATTAAATGGAGAATCGGGGGGAGAAATGGACATGAGAACCATCTCAAAAGAAAACTCTGCAAGACTTTTCTGGACTAAGTATGTGAGCCAGAAAAAAGAAGAGACATAGGATGGCTGGGGTTTGAGGAGGTCAAGAGAAACATCACTGCCAGCAACAGCAACGGAAACAACAGTTGCTCCAAACTAGAATTTTAAATGTTGGGTAATACATGCTGAGGTGAAAAAATAGTGACACAAACAATTAGTGATGGCAGATTTAAGTGAAATAACATCTCCCAAGCACCTATCACACACCAGGCCAGCTCATCTTTCCATCCTGCAACAGGGCCAGACCTGGAATTTTATTCTTTGTAGAAATAGTCACAGTTCTCTCCCCACCAAGACTCAGATCACCTTCTAGCTCAGGGGCCTCATCTTGACCCAACCCTGCTTTGGAGGAAAACATTAATCTTTTCAAAATAACACCAATCTGTTGAAAATGTATTGCCTAAGGAAAACACTATACCATATATAGCAAAGCACATTATGACTAAGGTTTCAAATTCAGACCCATGAGATGAATCCTGAGTTAATGCATTTCAAAAATGCCACCATACAAAATGAGAGTATATGCTTACAACTCCCCGTTTAAACAAGCACAGTGTCAGCAGATAGCAAGAGTTCAATAAATATCTATTGTGAAAGAAATCAAAGTGAAAGGAAAGAATAAAGACAAACAAGAGTAAGCAGGTAGGCACTAAGTCTGCTGACTACGAAGTGGGAACAGACAACAGGGCTGATTTGCACGGTCACGAGGGCAGGGACTTGATATCTTGCTCCCCATCATCCCACATCATGCCTAGCACACAGTAGGGCCTCTGTCAGTATATGGCAAACAGATATATAAAGGGCTAATAGAGTGGGTGCCTATTGAAGTTTCCTGCCCAGCCACTGAACCAAAGACTTCTCCTTGTCTGGTAACTGAACCCTTCCCCTCCCACACAGGGAGCCTGCCAGCCAGGCCTGTGCTGTGCAGCCCCCTTCATCCATCACAAATCTTTGCACCAGGGGTGGTTACTTGGCCCAAGTTAGGCCATTAAGAGTCTCTCATCTGCAACTTTGACACGGAACCTGAGAGAGATGGGCTCTGCACAGGGCCACACACTCCACATCTCTGGACCGCCACCTTCCAGACAGAGACTGCAGTGGAGAAAAGAAAGGATTTCTTTTGAGATAAAGATGAAACAGCTGCGTGAACAGAACAAAAATGGTCCCAACAGCTTTTTTGGTCCTGAATGCAGTCCACTCCCAGATCCCAACTGTATTTGGGTCTTTGGGGTCCATGAACTGCCCATGAATCATTCTATAGCTTATTTAAAACCAGAAATCCCACCCAGTGCTGTAAGCGAGCACACAGAGAATCTATTTGTCCCTGTAAGACAGACGGGCAAGTAAGGTTAAAGCGGAGGGAGAGAAATACCTGTCTACATATAGATCAATCACCCTGGGGGCTCAAGATTTTAGAAGCCTCTGACACAGGTGTCATGAGATGCTACGACTCATAACCATGGAGACGGATCCGACATAGGAATGTCTTCAAGGCAACATCTGAGCAGGCTGGTTTGCATAAAGCCCAGAAGTATCTGGAAGGTCACTAGCTAAATTAAGAGACAGTTCTTCCTACAGAGTTTCTGCCAGGATTGGACAAAGAGGAGACTCCTAAAGAACAGAGAGAGATGATAGATAGAGAATGCCTACCAGGAGGACAGGCCAAGAAATCGGGAAGGGGCACAGCAAAGCAGACAGTCACAGAACACAGGCCCCCAGTCCGCAGGAGCAGGTCAGGGAGTCGGCAGGACAAGGAAACGCACTCGGCAAGCCCACCTTCACCCGCAGCTATTCCACGGGCCTCAGCCACGCTGGGCTCTAGCTCGCCTAGTCACCTCTTCCCCACCCACGTTGTTCGTGTCATGGTAGCAGTATTTTCATTTTTCTAAATGATCCACGTTCCTCCTCATTTCACTCATGTGATGTATCTGTTGGACAGTCATTGGTCAGGAAGCAGAGACAAGGCTAGACCTCCCAGGGGCAGGTGAGGAGACAGAAATGAGGACAATAGCTCATTGATATTCACTACGTAAACCCACTTCATGGCAATCATTTGGAAAGAGAATGAAAAATCTTAACAGGTTTTTGAAACGTGTTCCCATCTAAAAAATATTATTTATTTTATAGCTATGTATACAATATAAATAAATATTTGTATAAACTAAATAGGCCCACGGTGTTAGAGAACTTTAAATGAAGATCACAAGAGTTAATGGAAGGCAAATTTTTACTAATCATTTCTTTGC